ATTATTTTTTCCATTATATACTACAGACATACAAACATACATACAAACAACCCCCAACTACCCCCCACAACATATAACAAGAGACTTTATCATTTCTTCTGCTTATTAAATTTCTAAATTCATTATGTATTTTACTAAGCTTATCTTTTCTGCGTTCTCAAATTACTACATTTATCTATCAGTTGCATTTACATTATACCAATCGTAGAATCTCTTACAAGTTTTTTGAAAAGTCCATTCTGTACCAGCTCTCATCTCAAGTGTCAGTTTGTCATTTTTCGCCGTTTCAAATAGCTTGTTCACGTACTCTTGTTTTGTTGGTATTTCCATTATTTTCCAATATTTGGCATATACTATCCTTGCAGTTGTCGACATATGAACTATCAAATACCTATCTGCTTTATCAAAGTCTTTTGGAAATATATTCAATAACACTATACTACTACTACTACTACTACTACCCATTTTTTGTGATGAAATGCTTTAAACAAGAGCCAACTACAACAGAGTATGACCAGAAAGAAGATTGAATATATTAATACACAATGGGAACAATTATACCAGGCCACGATTTTAAATAATACAAAAAAAATCTGGGCCATAGTCTTGGGGTCATGTCGTGTGGAGGTCCCCTCTCTTTCTGCTATTTCTCCCCAAGTGTGGTTTCAATATTTTTTAACATTATTCCATCAGGATGATGGAACCCTCAGAATAATTTTTTGTCTGAGGATTTATCTGACTGGCCTAATGTAATACCCAATGAAACAAAAGAACTGATTGGCCAGTTAAAACCAGGAAAAGCAGCTGGTCCTGATATAATTCTCCCTGAAATTTTAAAACTAGACCCTGACATCCTTTTTTACAATGAATGATAAATCTGGCCTTATTTCTGATGCATGGTTAAATGCAATCCTAGTCCCAATTTACAAAAAAGGTGATTGCTCGATTCCTTCCAACTATAGACCAATCAGCCTGCTTTCCATTATGGGCAAACTGTATGCCAAACATTTACTATCTAAGCTGACCATATGGATGACAGAACAGAGAGTCTTAGGCCCGGAACAGCTGGGATTCTGTAAATAGAAAACTACTTTAGACCATTGCATTGTATTAGAACACCTAATTAATAAGTATGTTAAAAGAAGCAATGTAAAATTATACACTGCCTTCATAGATCTTAAAGGGGCATTTGATTCAATCAACAGGGAACTCCTCTGGCCTAATCTACAACAACTAAACATAGATAAGAGACTCCTTAACCTTATAAAAAAGCTATACACATCAACAAAATGCCAAAGCAAATGTTCACTGGCAGGGAAATTAACTTCAAAAATCCCATCAAATAAAGGAGTCAAACAAGGCTGTATATTAGCACCCTTTCTGTTTAACCTGTTCCTTAATGATTTCTCCCCTTACCTCAAAGCTGTTGATTGCCATGCTCCTAAACTGGGTTCTGTCCATGTTCTTCTACTATTATATGCAGACGACATGGTACTATTATCCTGCTCCAAAGTTGGTTTAAAACATTCACTAAATAGATGTCATTCATATTTTATAACAAAGAAATTACTTTTAAACCATGAAAAATAAAAAATACTTGTCTTTTCCAAAACTTGGAAACCATTCAAATGGACAATTGGAGGCAAAACTATTGAACAAGTTAAAAATTTTAGATACTTAGGTCTGCACTTCCAGTATAATGCATCTTGGTCTGTGCAGCGTAATTCAGCTATAAATATGGCCAACATAAATGCTTCTGCCATTTCCTGATTCTCATACACCAGAGGCAATCAATTCATACCAGCTGCATTAAAAGTCTTCAAGGCCAAAGTAATCCCCCGACTCATGTATGGTATTCCAATATGGATAAGTGCACTTAATGGCACAGTAGAACATGTTCAATGGCAGCATAAAGGTAAAGGTTCCCTTGCTTGAAAGCCAGTCGAATCCGACTCTAGGGTTGCGGTGCTCATCTCCGTTTCCAAGCCAAAGAGCCAGTGCTGTCCGAAGATGTTTCCGTGGTCATGTGGCCGGCATGACTAAGCACCAAGGTGCATGGAACGCTGTTACCTTCCCACCAAAGTGGTACCTATTTATCTACTTGCAATTTCTTGCTTTCAAACTGCTAGGTTGGCAGGAGCTGGAACTAGGGATGGGAGCTCACTCCATCATGTGGCACCCGGGTCTCAAACTTGCTGAACTACTGACCTTCCACAGCTTGCAGTTCAGCGTCTTAACCACTTGAGCCACCGCAGCTCCTAATGGCAGCATAGCTGACACTAAATTTCTTCAAAAGATCATGGGAATGCCGCAATGTGTACCTTATGCAGCCTTGTGTTTAGAAACTGGGTTAAATTCCGTAGAATCTGGTGCGTGGCTAATGACAGTAAAATATTGGCTTCATTTACATTACAATGACCCCGTTCATACGAGGCAGTTTGGGCCGGGAGCGGGCCGGATTGGAAGCGCATCAAACGGGCACGATCCCACGCCAACATCTGGCTGGCGTCGCGCTCCTGCCTCCAATCCAGCCCTTCCCCCGATGAAGCGCGTCAAAGATGAACCACCTACCTTCGGTGGTTCATCCGGTTGGTCTGCTTCATCCTGGCCGTGGGATCGGCGGCGCGTCTTGCCGCCGTCGCATCCCCGGCCCCCTGCCGTACTGCGCATGCTCTCCCTCCGACTAGTATCTTCCTCCCCGGCATCTGATCGTGCCGGGGAGCAATGGAGCGCGGCTACCGGGAACCGTGGGATCCTGCCGTGGCTTCACCCCGTCTTTTCCCTGCCGTGTTGCAGGGGCCAATGTAGACCAAGGGAGCCTTATACAGCAAATGCTCATAGCATCAAACATGTTTAACTGGCCACCACACATTGAGAACAAAACAACTGCCATGGGCATCCCATTGGACTCACTGCTTATGCTCCCTTTTCTGGGTGCTTTTCAGAGTCCTTGACATTGAAACACAAAGGTTATACAGCTTAGCCAACAAATCTTGCTCCCCTCTGAACTTTGAGATTCCCCTCACGGTAGGCCAAAT